GACAACTTGTCTGTAGGGGACTGTTCTTCTTTCAGAGGGGATGTGATGTGCCATTCACTGTTCCTGTCACACTTTCATCCATGAAGCATTTTGATATTAATGAACAAGAGCAGATCGAGCACCTATCACATGTGAAATGGAACTTGTCCAGACAATGCTATAACGTGTGTGTGTGTGTGTGTGCAGACACGGCTGGAATTCCTCCTTTTGCTGTTGGACTGAAGAGAGCTTTCCCAGCGGCAGATCTGAGTCGCTTCCCTCTGTCTGGTGCTAGCGCAGGATGTCTCAGTTTGCAGGAAAAATTACAAGTTGCATTTCTCCTTCTACCTGGACGTCAGTGTCTTGGATTAGTCTGTTGCAAACACCACCTTTGATAAAAGGGGAAAATAAATCATAGAAAGTGTAGCTGAAGAATAAACTTCACCGATGTTCTGGGAGCAACTGGAATTTTTCAAGGCTCACTTCTGGATATTCACATCTTAAATGAACTTGGGTGTAGGTATGGTTTGGGCCAAGTTTACAAAGCGTTATGGATTTCTTGTATGTCAACTCCCTGAAGCTTTTCTAGGCTGTTCCTCCTGATTTCAGCAGTTCGGTGATCTAGCACAACTTATGACTTTTTAAAAAGTATAATCTATATTTAGCATTGCTCCCTAATTCAAACCTTCTTCTGAACCTACTGAAAGATTTAAATCTGGAAGCTCTTTAGCTTTTAGCACATGAATTTGCCTACAAATAAAAATGTCAGCAAAACATTTATTTTTACTTTGATTCTGCTTGTATGTTCATGTATATTTGATGTTATTGGTACATATGTGCATTTGTGTATACACATACACTTGCTATTGAAGGGTTGTGAAGATAAACTGAGCTTCATCACAGCGTGTATGTGAAAGCCTGTGTGATCACGGTGAGGGCTCAGACATGGAAACACCGCTTGGGATGCTCAGGATTTGTGATGCAGCCAAACACACAGTCCCAATTTGCTCAGCGCTTGCTGCATTGCACAGAAGATGGTTCCTCCCCTCTACATCCATATTTCAGGGGGCTGACTTCTCTGAAATTCAAACCCTCTCGCAATATACATCCGAAATCAGTCGTCCTTCAAAAATGTTGAAATGAGTGCTGTGAAATACCTTAGGACTGACATCTTTGCATGAGAAACATGCAGGATATTGTCCATTTTTTTTTCTTTAAAATCCGCTATGTATGCAAGGCAGAGTGGCGTGGTATGGAAAGGGCTAAAAACTCCCTTTGTGTGCCCTGGCCCAATCTGTGCCCTTCCCTTTTGGTACCGTCTGTTTAGGCGTGCTCTGGCTTTGGTATTGCTTAAAATATTTGTTGCTCTGTATTTCTTGGATATTTAAAACATCAGTGAGGGATGAAAGACAATCTTCCTCCTTTGTCTGCAGGGTGTTGAGTGAGTTATTGTCTTCAGAACAATAGACATGACAATGGTCTCCTCCCCTCCAAATACAGAACCCTGCATTGCCTGTGGTGTGTCAGCAAGCCCAGTAACTGCACCCAGGGCGCTTTTTTTTTTTTTTTTTTTTTTTTCAGGCCCACGGCCAATGTTTTCAAAATGCCGTAAGGGTTCTTGCTCCGCAGGAAAAACAAACCAACCTCCCTCTGAAGTCATGGGACAGGGGCTGAGTAAGGCCTGAGTAAGGCTGAAAGACGCAATTCCCGAAGTGCTCCCTGCAGGATGTGGAAGGGGAAAAGGTTTGGTTTTTTAGTGGGGAGGTAAGAACTGTGGAGCCTGCATATATGTGGCATTACTGAGCGAGACTCTTGGATCCGACTTCTGGGAAAATCGTCTATTGTCTTAAATCTATTGTCTGCTGGAGCCAGCCCTTAAAGCTTTATTCTGAGTAGGCTCTGCCCTCCTGTGGCTGGAAGCTTTTAAAGGGAGAAAGGTGTGGAGGCAGCTGTGTGCCCATCCAGCCCAGCAAAAGGGCTGGCCAGGAGCCAGCTGCTTCTGCAGGACAGCCCCTGTGTGTCCTGGCCGGTACATGGAGGTGTTTGCTGTTATAAGGGACTGGCCGTAAGCAGCCACTCTCCTTTAGTTCTCATCTAAATGAAACTTAAACTGAGGGGCCAGGGGGGAAATAAATGGGAGAAGCACTATCAGCAAAACCTCATGTCTTTTGACTTGTACTCGCTAGGTCTCATCTACGCAAATATAAGAGAACTTCAGAAGGTGTTTATTCTTTGTTGAATAATAAAATACTTAAAATAACCTAGAAGGGACTTGGATATGTTTTCCTTTTTCTTTCCAAGACATAAATTGTAAATCCCAGCACATATCTGAAGGTAAAATCCGTGTCATCACTGCTTGCTACAGTGAGACCCTACCCAAACTATTGAAAGGCGTGAGGATTGTTCACCTCGAGCTCTCTTCTGATTCTTTTTGTGGGTAATTTTCATACCTGGCACCCTAAGTTGGGTACTTTTATGAAGCTGTGTTTTGAGCTTCCTTCTGACTTTGTACGGGCATAGGTGACTGGAAAGAAAATAAAGTTCTAGACAAGAACACCTGCAAGGCTTACAGACTTCCCTCTGAGTTTGTGGGCATTATTAAAGAACTAATAAGGGTTAAAGCGACAAGTTTGGGTGTTTGGTTTTTTTTTTAGTAAGATAGACATGTCATGGAAAAGTATGCAATGTGTGTGACAATATGGTTATCAGTTCAGTGGTGAATCAGCTCCAAATTATCTCTGATTGCAGGTACCTTGGAAAAAACAACGGGTGCTTTAGAAATCTGCAGTCACTATCTTGTTGGGTATCTCCCTGATCCGTTTAGAAGATGAGCTTATATGCACAGGGCTCTTCCTCAAATGTGTTTGCTGAGGGCAACAAGAGCTAGACCAAGGTGTGAGCTCTCGTAAGAAAAGTCTGTCCAAGCCAGAGAGGAATGATGCTTGTTGTACTCCCTCAAAAGGCGATTTACAGTCCCGGTCAAGGCTTTTAATGTAAAACTACATTTTAAAAATGTATAATCCCCTGTGAGTTGTGCACAAAGCCTCAGTGCTCTGCTGGCACAGGACTTAGAAAATGTTGCAAATGTTAATGTGAATGCTCACTGTTGTGGTGCTTCAATTAAACTTATTGACCAGTCATCTAGCGAGCAGCAGCATGTTAATGAAGGCAGCCCGCAGCAATGTGGACTGTAGGAGAAAGCAGGCGTTCATCTTAGGCAGAATGTATAATTGTATTTGGCAGATGGAGCTTTGAGACTTGAGAATCCAGTGATAAACTGGATTAATTTTCCCTTTAAAGAAAGCAGCTAATGTGGTTGAAAAGGAGCTTTCGGTCTCATCGATTCACGCAGTGATTCACATAGGGGAGAAGAGCTTAATCCTTTGCAAGACTCCACCTGTCTTAAATTTCTAGGGGTTTGAAATGTGCATCTGCACTTAGTAGATGATACCTTTTGTATCTACAGTCCTTGGCAAGTATTGATTAAATCCCAGGAGCTCAGGAGCTGAGGGATGGTCATGCTAGCAACTCAGAGACAGATCTCAGAATGGGAGCAGGAACAGAATGAATTTTCTAAAGCTGGAGTTGGTCATGAAGAAATGGAAGAAGTGTGGACTTGTCATGTTGGATGTAATTATTCCTGTTTTGGGTTGTTTTCACTTAAAGATAAAAGGAAAGTTAAAAGATCCACTGTAGAAATACAAGTATAAGAACGAATTCAGCTATGTAACTAGAGCTTCTGATGTTCTTGCCGGTAATCTTGCTACGTAATCACAGGATTGTGTGGTCAGTCACACACGTAACTTGCTGGTGCTGCCAACTCTCCCAGTTTTCATCACTTTTACAGTAATTGGTCTGAGAAGCAAGATATTTCATATCACTTCATTTCACAGGGGGGGAAAAAAAACAAAAAACAAAATGCTTTTAGGCTTTCTTGCACAGCAAAACTGAAGACCAACCCAACTGCACTCCGAAGATTCGTACACAAAAGGCAGGAGTCATCTGTGCGCCAGAAATCCCCGCAGAAACTTGGTTGGAAAATTTTTACTTTGGTGTCAGCAGACCCGGGGGCTTCCTGACCTAAATGTCCACGGTCATCCATACCTCTGATCTTTGGGGTCAGTTTTAACTGTTTGAATTTACCATAGTGACTCCCATGAGGTATTCAAAGTTGGAGGTGGGCAAAGCCCCGCCCGATTTTGTTCAGTTTTAGCAGGGATGCAGTATGGAAAGTCGGGAAGAAAAGCGCGAGTTTCGCAGTGATTAACGCAGTGCTGGTTGAACATCAGGATTTTCTGCCGTGCACCGTCTCCTAGTCCAGGTTTTGGGGACTTAACGTGCGTTTTGGGGTTTACTGGCTAACATTTAAAAGGCTTTGCTTCCCTCTAGTGGGTCAGCTTGGCAATTCCTTTTTTTTTTTTTTTTTTTTTTAAAAAATCCTGACAAACCTTTTTCGCCAACTTATGATTTTTTTTGACGTTGCTATTCAAAGACACTTCAGTAGCCTACTTGTACTGTGCCTTTCTTAAGGTGTTAACCCTCTTGTTCCCAAGCTGGTCTCTTATTTCCAGTGCTGAAATGCACATAACAAACATCACCCAGCGTTAGGGAAAAGACTCCAACCTTTGTCAGGCTGACCTAGGAATAAAACAATGGGCTTTGCAGGTCTTCTGGGTGGAAATACTGCTTATGAATGAAGGTAATAAAAGGTGAAGGCAAAACTGAGGAGATTATCTGAAATTGTGAATGTGCAGAGGATGTGGGTGCAACTTCAGCATTGACAGCTCTGGAGTGTGAAGCCATCTGTTCTTCATGCTTAAATATTAGTGTGAAAATGCCTATGTATGTATAGATGTCCCTCGTAATCAGCTGAAATCTGTCCAGGAAGCCAAGCTATTGCGTTTTCTTCAATGCTATGAAGCAAATAAGGAAGAATTCAGGGAAACCTAAGCTAGCAACCCTTGTCAGTGCAGAGATGCGTCCTTAATCCTGGCCTCTGACCACCGGCGTCTCTCTTTCAGCTTCCTGCTCTGTTTGGCTGTCCAGGGCTCAGACTGAGTTTAAGAGAGTGGCTGAAGAAAACGTGACTTTGCCCTGTCACCACCGCCTGGGCCTCCTGGAGCAAGGGAGCCTGGATATTGAGTGGCTGCTGCACATTTCGGAGACAGTACAAAAAGCGGTAGGTTCAGCCACAATTAGCATCTGCTGAGAAAAGAGTCATGTTAATGTTGACAGTAGCAGCAGCCATTGATTTAGAGAGACTTCTGTGATCTTTGCAAGCTATTCTGATGAAATAAGCTGTGTTTAGAAAACACAGATAATTTATTTGGAACAATTTATAATGGCTATTTGATATTCACGCATACTGTATTGGAACAGGTTGTGTTACAATCAAGTTTTCTTTAAACTAACACCGTTATGTAATCAGTCATCCCTGGATAAGCTTCAGAATTGACCTTCACGTTTTCAAAAATGACCTTGGATTGTGTAGGTCCACTTTTTGAAACCTTGGCTTCAGGAAAAAAAAACAGAGTAGTTTAATACTTACAAAAACTGGGTCTGCAAGAACTTAAATTAGATAGCCAAAATTAAAATGGTTTTATATATTGTGGCATAAGCAGATGTCTATTTTGACAGTAATATAAATACTCCAGTATAAATCTCTAGCATAAATACAGTTTATGTATCGGTCTCAGACTTGAAATCCGGGTTTAATTTTCCACCCTGCCACAGGTTTTCTCTGTGACCCTCGGCAAGTCACTTAACCATGAGAACCTTAGCCAGCAGTTCCTGGAAATGCTTTGATTTGTTGTTCCGTGCGAAAGTAAAATTACAACTAGCTGCTCAGTGACTCTCTCTGCTCCTCAGGTGATCACTTACTCCGGAGGCCGCGTTTATGATGACCTGAATGAGGAACAGAAAGGGCGCGTTTCCTTCACATCCAACTTCCTTGCTGGAGATGCATCCTTACAAATCATATCCCTGCAGTCCAGTGATGCGGGGAAGTACATATGTAAGGTTAAAAATGCTGGGCAGTATGAATGGGCTCGCATCACCCTGAAGGTTGTAGGTAAGGTCATTTTATTGTTCTTCCAAAGGAAAAAAAAAAAAAAAAAATTAAAAAAAAAATCTCTAGAATCATTTCCTGGAGAGAGATTTATTTCAGCAGGGTATAAATACAAAGACATTTCACAATCAGGTTTCACTGTTCAACTCCATATCTGCCTTTGCAATTTTTTGGCAAAGGACAGGACACAGGAAGAGCCTAAAGAACTGTTTGAGGTAAGTATAATCACCTGCAAAATCATAGGAATTGTTCCTGCCAAATTATTGCTATGATCTCATCACACAAACCAGGCTGATATTCTAGCTTAGCTGGCGATCGCCCTGTCCGGATCTTCTGCTGAGGAATCTGGGTTCATGTCCCAGGACCCCAGCTGACCCAGGTGACAAATAAGCTGCCAGGTTTAGCGTTTCTCTCCCGATTTCAGTTCATCAGTTGGCTTTTTCACGCGTTCTGTCATCTCACAGAAGAGGTGTTGTGGGGAGAAGGAAGAAATGGAGAAGTAGGGAGAGGGGAAAGGCTGTTCTCTAAATAGTACCTAGAAGAGGAACACGGTGATACAGCTCCACTGATGCGAGTATCCATGAGGCAGGCTGCCCCAGAATATTATAATGTGTCATTTCTATGTCTGAGCCAGCCAGCTCCGCTTCTTAGGCTATGAAGCTGCACACACCTGCAGCAAAAGTCCCCTAACAAACATCATCTTAATGCTCTCCAGAGAAGGCAGCTCTTGGGAGCTGCTTAAATTACATATTTTGCCAAAGAAAGGGTTTCCACCAAGAAAACAGTCTTCTGCGTTTGCATGATCTGTCTTCTGTTTCTTCTAGAAAAACCTTCCAAGCCCAAATGCTGGCTAGAAGGGGAGCTACTGGAAGGACAAGAGCTGTCCTTGCAGTGCCGTTCTGCTGCTGGCACTGCCCCCATCTCCTACCGATGGCAGCGCATAAATGAGGAAGATGAGAGAGCTGAACATCTCCCGCCGACATCAAGAGTCAGTAAGTCAGGTCATTTCCTCTCAGGGCCCTTGGTACAGTCAGAATGATGTAGGCGTACAGTCACATGCCTGCTTTTTACACGGGGCTCACTCGGTGGCGGCGATAGCCGTGATAGGACAGTACTACTGCAGTGGGGTGCTGCACCCTGAGCCAGAAAGTGCAGGAGGAGTTTTAGTGTTTTGCTAAAGGTCAGCAAATGAGGCATCATTGATTGTTCTTGAACTGATTTGATGCAGAAGTTCAATTTGTGCTTCTGCATCCTATCCACTGTTAAGGTTTCTTAGTCGGTTTTGATGAACTACTGTTGTTTTTCCCGTTTCAGACATTTCTAATCCCGGACAAGTCCTGCTGAAGAATCTTACGCAGATGAGCACAGGGTTATACAAATGCATTGCCACCAACGAGGCAGGACAAGAAAGCTGTGTTGTTCAGGTGACCGTGCAGCGTAAGTATGGGCACGTAACTAGTACTTGCACCACCACGCAAGCAGTGCTGCTTCCCGGCTGTCCTGCCTCGGGCTGGCACACTCTGTGCCACACCTTCGCCCTTTCAGACTTGAATCGCATGATGTAGTTCTTATTTATTGCACTTACGGTTTGCACAGCAGTCCTCTGTATAACCTAAAGGGGTAAATACATCATGTGGGCTCAAATTCTCTTGGTCTGCTAGAAATTTTGATTTTGAGAACGACTAGTGGAAATAGGAGGGAAAACACGGCGGGTTGGAGGTTCCAGAGTCTCTAGCTTTTGAGGTACTTGTGGCTGTGGAGTGACGGCATAAAATTACTCTCAATTATAAAATCCCCATGTGGATATTCCATTATTCCAATTCCAAGTTATGTATCTGTCACTCTTAGGACAGTAGAGTATCTCTAAGGCAGCTGGACAGGCTGACTTTGACATTAAGTAATATGTAGGATAAAAAGCAACTTTTGACATAGTTTGGTTTTAATCTAGATTTAATAAATCCTGTCCTGAACACCAGAGATTAAAATCCCCAGAGATTAACCCCATCAAGGGTGTGTGCATGCCTGGGTCCCCGTGTCCTTTGCATATGTATGCCAGGCCAAGGGTGGAGTTTAGCACCAGCATTGAGGACAAATCCAAACAATAGGGTTGAGCAGGTTTTTATGGGCAGCTCTCAGGGGAGAACAGCAGGAGCTGAAACTGCTGTGATAAAAGACTGTGAATAGAGAAGTCTCTTCTTGGAGATTCCATAGCTTTGGAATTTTTCTGCCCAGTCAGGCCTGAAATAACTGGAATATGGTCATATTGCAAGGAAAATCTATTTGCCTCAGGCATCTGAAGTAAAAAGCATCCAGGCAGCTTGCATGGCAGTTGAACTGAATTGGTTCAAAACCTCGCTTTGATTTGCTAAACCCTCCATGGGGACGAGCCTTAAAGAGACAACTTTCATCCAAATCTAACCTAACCACTCTTATTAGAAGTTGTCATAACATCAACTAAGGGCCCATGTATGCTAGGAAGCATTCTCTCATTAACTTCGTTATTTTGGGTGAAAAATGCCTTGTACTTGCACAGCATGGTCTTTCCTCCTTCCTCTCCTTCCCCCTTAGGTCACTTCTTTCCCCAGCTGAATAATTCATTCTGCAAGTGGATTGTAAGCATTTCAGAGTGAGTTGAAGGGGAAAGAAAATCCTCATGGGAAAACAGTTGTAGTTCAAACACTCTTCCTCCTGTAGGAACCTGCTGGGTGCTTTGTGTCACATGTGGGCTTTCCTGCCTGTCTCTCTACTTTCTGTGGCTTCTGTGCTCTTATGAGATTTTTCTTCCTCATTTCAATTCTGACCCACAGCTGAAGGCACAGCACTTGTGATCCCACCCTTCCAGAGGCGAATACCCTGTTAGCTCAGGTTTAGAAACAAAGCCTGAGGAGAAATGGGTTCAACGTCTGCGTGGAGACACGCCTAAATAAAGCAGCCTAAAACATTCTGTTCTGTTTCATACCCAGTGCTATAAATTGTAGTATGGACTAGAATCTGACCATATGACCCTAGTGAGAGCTTACCGACTAGCACGTTTGTTTTCTGGACAACAGATGCACAAAATATCGGCATGATTGCTGGAGCAGTTTGTGGTGTGGTGCTGGGGCTTTCCCTCCTTTTCCTGGTGGTGAGGCTGACCATAAGGAGGAAAGAAAAAAAGAGATATGAGGAAGAGGAGGCACCAAATGAAATCAGGTAACACCCTTTATTTAATCCCCCACCTTCCACCCTCCCTTCTTTCAGTTTCACACATCTTTTCACTACAGTTGTTGTAAAGGTTGTTCTAAAAAGCTTTTAAACTTTCCCTGAAATATCAGTGACAGATTTCTCGACTGTGAGAATCTTCGTGAAGACTTCCCAGAAAATTAGATAGATGAAAATGTGTTTTCCCACCCCCTGCCTCCGGGACAAATTAGCATAAAAGTCAACAAAATATTCTTTCTCACACTTGCAATTTCAGCATTTTAAAGCATTTGCATAATCCTCTCCAGTATTAAATTCAATCCACTTGTCCACTGAGGTTTGTTTGGTGGGGTGTTTTGGTTTTTTTTTTTTCTTTTCAATTACAATTTCTGTTGGGAATGCTGTAAGGCAGGCAGGTTCTCAGAGTCTTTCTTGAGTCTTTTGAACAACTGTGCTTCTGGATTTAGCTCAGGGTGAAAAAATCCCCTGAGCTGCTGCGTGCAGAGTTGAGAAGCCTCGCCCTGAGCGGGTGTACCGGGAATGCTGACGCGTGTTGTTTGTGCTCATCTGTTACATGCGTGTGAGCTCTGCCACTTAACTCCACTAAGCAGAGATTGGTCTCGAGCCAATCAAGCCTAAACTTCTCGGGAAGGAAAGCACTGGGAAAAGATATTTCCAGGAATATGTTTTAGCTGCTGTGCCCTTGAAGAAAGTCCTTGCCTTGTTCCATCCTTGTGTGTATTTTGTAAAAGACTGCCTGCCCTCGCGTGACATCGTGTTGACATTCAGCAGCTGACTACTCTGCCTGATGGTCAGGTTGCCAGCGAGAAGGTAGTCTCCGCTGATTTCTTCCCTTCCCTTTTTCCTGTTCTCCCAGCTTTCAAATCTTGCGTGCCGTTTTAGTTTGAGCTTCAGCCTCTTGTATCACCTTTTTATGCATGACTGTTACCTCTTCTCTCTCTCTGGGCCCAGTTCTTGCACTTCTTTCACCACCCACACTTTTTTTTAACCAGAAGAACTGGTCTCAGCTAGTGCTGCCTAGGTCATTTGTCACTGTGAGTAAGGATTACAGAGCAGACAGTTCTATCTGAACTGTCTGCACTGACACTTGGCATTCATTCCACAGGCCTCAAAGCCGCTCACAAAGAGCCCGTCGTGTGCAGCATATTCTAAATCCATTTGACCAATAGCTCCACAGAGAATTAGGGAGTTCAGTCCACAGAGTTACACAGCACAGAATTCAGAAAACCCTGTACCTTGCTCAAACTGCTGGACAAACACGCCCTGTGATTTGCAGCTTCCATAAGCAACTGCTTATTGCAGCAGCAGTTCAGTCTGGTAAAATGTATACGCGTTTCTGTTCTCGTGGTGTTTGAGCCCTGTCATCTGTTTGATTGCAGAGAAGATGCAGAGGCACCCAAGGCCCACCTCGTGAAGCCCAGTTCCTCTTCCTCTGGTTCCAGGAGCTCACGCTCAGGTTCCTCCTCAACCAGGTCGACAGCCAACAGTGCCTCTCGCAGCCAACGGACGTTGTCAACGGAAGCTACTCCCCATCTAACTCCTCCCCAGTACAGCCAGAGGGAGGCAGAAGGAAAAGAAACTGAGCCAAAGAAAGTCGACTACGCTAACCTGATGAAAATGGGAGCGACGCTGGTCATGGTGCCCGCCCAAAGCCGAGCGTTCCAGACTGTGTGACTGCCTGCCCGTCGTCTGGAGACTTCTGCTGTCCAGAAACACTTCACGTACCACCAGCCACGTAGGAATTGTTAGATTAGCTAGTTATCTTCCTGGTCAGTTTAATTTTAATCACTTGTGATTATTCACACCACAAGAAGCCCTCCCACTCAACTCTTCCTTACATCTTCGAGCACTGAGGTTCTGGTACAGAATATTTTTTTTTTTTTGAAGAAAGATACACATGAGGGAAAAGGGAGCCTTCTTTTTAAATTATCTTTTTTGGAAACGGAACGCTGAGCATTTTAAAACTACAACAGCTAAGCGCTGTACGAATGAAACTAAGCCAAACCTCAGGATTTTTTAAAAGGGATCGACAGAGACATAAAGACACAGAATATTCCAAAGAGGTTTTGTGGGGAGGGAAAAATCTCTTGTACTGGTTTCAGAGAACTTCTCAGAGATGCCTTGTCTTATCTGAAGATTTTGAAGCAGACTCTCTGCTGAGGGTAGTCTGGTGTTCAACCTCAAGGGAAGTGACGCGTCACGTTTTCTGCACTTCGTTCTTCTAGTGAAATACTTTTTGGGGCTGTAACTGAAGTGGAAATGAAAGGATCACTCAAGAAGATCGAGAGATACAGTATTAAGGCATGTGTCTGAACTATATAACCTCTGTACTAAAGAGAAAGGACCCTTTACGTCAAGGAAACAGAGGTGCTTTAATTGCCAGAATAAACTTAATGATGCACCCAGAGAGACACAGCCAGGAGCCTGACTCTGCTTTTACAGTCAGCACTGCAAAGCTGCAGCAACTGCACTGGAGCAGTGTCTGTGGCAAAGGAGCCTTAGTGTGATGGGGACTGGGCACTGAATCCAGAACAAAGGCAGTACCTCGAAAAGTGAGGGCCACTATTCTACCAAAAAGCCTGGAGGAAGCATTTGGAAGGTATCTTTGCTATCGCCAGGTTGTGAATTCACCAGTTCTGGAGTGAGCCACGCTGTAGGAGCTTTACGGAGAGCTGTTCCCAAGGCTGAATGAGCAGCATTCTTGAGCTTCAGGCATGCTTGTGAGACTGAAGGATGGAGTGACAGAGCACGTAGTGAGGAAAATGCACCAGGGACAGGTAAATAAGCACAGTGCTGCTTCTCTTAGAAAACACTTGTGGTGCATTGTCCCATTTATACACCAAATGCTGGGCCACGTGCTATTGTTGAGGCTTAAACCTTAGCACAACTCTTAAAAAGTTGCAAGAATCATAAAAATATTTTCTGTGATTAAACAGAATAAACATTTCCAAGGAATAGAAAGTCTTACATTGCAAGTTGAAGGCTAATAGGAAACGATGGGGGATAGGGACGGGCTTCCTCTGGAGGCAGATCTGTCATTTGTATTTTCCTCTGAAGGACTTTGCTCTGATCACTGCTGCACACAGGACACTGAGCTTGTAGGTTTTTGATCCCTGTACTCCTGGACTGATGATTTTCTGTTAAAAAACCTCAAGAGCTTCTTTTCCCATGTGAGGGAGGGAAGGTTTTCTCCAATTTGTGGAATGCGTCTACAGGAGATGGATCAGCACAGAAGAACCACAGATCTATAATTCTTTCACTCCAGGGACTGTCATTAATTTCCTTTTCTGACTGAGACCCAGAATTCTCTCTTCTTTGCTTGAGATCTTGGACAACCTGATCAAAGCCTAGCCCTGCTTGGGCTTACTTCCTTATGGGAAATAGTTTTCAAACTTGCCCTCTACTATCTGAGAACTTCTCTTCCTAGGAGCCGCCACCCATTTTCATCACATCTATCAAAATTTCACTTGCTCTCTCCACCCCAGAGTCAACCCAGCCACCCTTGGCAGGACAAAGTACTCGTCGTGCGGGGAAGGCAGTCTCGATTCACAGAGGAGACATCTGGTATTAGGTGTTTGATAAGCTTCTACTTTCATCACAGCTCCTGGTGTTGGATACTGTGTCATTTTACCTAGACAGTTTCCTTGGATACTCCAGAGGCACATTCCTGGATCATCTGAGTTTTGGTGGATTCGTAGTGGCTGTCGCTGCTTGGAAGCAGCAGCTCGAAGTGTCTGTGGTTCCTCTGCAGTCGCTCTTTTCCTGGACCCTGAAGGTTTAGGCACTGCAGAGCTGGGAGAGTTCTGAAGAGCATGAGCAGGACTGCTGAAGTGGTTTGTGGCTTCTATGGTTGCTTATTGTGCTCAACGTTACCTGTGTTACATCTGAGGATACTTTATACGTGTAAAAACAGGAGTGTTTTTCTCAGTAAAGAATACATGCCTGAGCAACCTGAAGCTTATGACCACAAAATGAGGGTAACGATTCCAACAGCTGAGCTGGCTACAATCTGAGTATTAAATATTGTGGGTTGGCTTTGAGTCACAGGCCAGACTTGCAATTAGCAAAGAGGAGGATGCTCTGTCTGCAGCCTGGAGGGCACTTGCTGCTGGCTAGGAGAATCTGCCCAGCCTGCTCCTGGCAGCCTCTGTCCTGGAGGCCTCTGAGAACAGGCTGCAGGATGAATCAGCCGTGGCAAACCTCTCCTGGAGCAGAGAAGTCACTCCTTGTTCTAGGAGTTATCTGATTGCATGGGATGAAAGGTTTATGGACCTTGGGGTGATGTCAGTCAGAAGCAATTGCCGCAGCCTGGTGTGTGTGATCATTCCCGGCTGTTCCTGCCCTGGGTACAAACCCCATCCCAAAAAGCACCGTGGCCATCTCCTGCCACGGACCAGAGATGTGTGGCTCTGGTTAGAAAACGTGGGCACCATGGTGATTTAAACTCACTAAGTCTGAAACGCTGATGCTTTTCAGACCACACATCCGTGATCTTGCAGGTGAATGCAAAGTCTGTTCTGCACTTCAGTTGCTAGCATGAAGCCCAAAGGGAAAAAGTTCATTACTCAAAGGAAATATGAGAAAAAGGTCAGTTCAAAGGCATTACATTTTCAAAGGGACATTTTCTGAGCTCCGGGTGATACTATTAGGAGTTGCACAAGGGAAGCAAATGAACCATAAGGCAAACTATTTTGTAAAATAGTGTACTTAAAGCATTTACTGTCATATACCAGTTATTACTAGTGTGATTAAACGCATACAATGTTACATGGCTTTGTTTCTCAGCAGCTAAACTAAGCTTACATCTCTTCTACCTGCTATGATTGGTGTACTTGTACTGTGTCTGAACAACTCAGAGGAAAGCGAATATTTATTATTGATTCCTTTGAATCAATGTTTCATAATTTTTTTTTCTTGGTTGGTTGTTTTATAAATAAATGTGCTGCAGCTAAAGTGCTACAGCTCAACTAAACTTGTGCTAATGCTCCGTCTTCTGTGGTATGATGTGTTACATGCTGTCAAGTTGAATGCAAGGAAAAAAGTATGGAGTCAAAAATACCATTTTTAAGCTAACAAGGACTATTTGCATACTTACATCGAAAGTGTGGGGAAGCTGATCTTTTTCCTGGGCATTTTTTCAGTCTGAATTACATGGCATGGTATGAAACACACAAAACCTTGGGGTGTTTTGAAGTAAATGGTGTTTTGACTTCCATGCAGCTATTTCACCCGAGATGTTTTGGCTGAGGCTGTAGATGCTTCAAGCTAATATGGTAAACAGTGCCAGCACAGATACAAAACTCCAGTGATACCGGGCAGTGACACTGTCCTCCCACTCCTGCATCTGTTGACCTTCCTGAACCACCTGCTGCGTTTCAGTTCATCTCCTGAACTGGGCACGAGAAGACAAACCTTGAACAACTAAGAGCTGTGTTCAGACAGTTTAGATCTTCTCCGCAGATAAACATTTTTGAACTGCCTAACAGGAATCTCCGGTCAGGGAGATCGTAGGTGAAATTTAGGGTAACTAAACGTGACTGTGGTTGATTTCTCTTGCAGTGCTTCAGCCTTCTTTCCCCGGGGGGTGTTTTGCACAGACGTCTCCCAACATCAGCAATCTTCTTTTACTGAAATCTGGGCGTTAAAATTGTGACATAATTACACAGTATTTAAAAGAAAACACAGTGACAACACAGTGGTCTCATAGGTGTGTCCTGTCTGTTCCTGACTCATGAGAAAACGCTATTACTGACTCCCTCCTGAGTTGATGACATCCACGATCCTGATTAAGCGATACATATTTTGAGAGAGGTTGTGCAATTCCATACTTTTGTACAGTATCTGGTATCTTGGGTTATTTTTAACCTGAATCAGTTTCTACTGACACCCAGAAGGGGGAGAACACGGTGGGAGAGGGAAGGGGCTGCCTTGGTAATTAATGAGTGATTTTCAAACTTCAGCTGGGGTGTGCAGATGCAAGTATTGTATAAATAACACATGCTGCTGTTGTGAACAGGAAGTGTGTCTTTGATAATCTCCACTCTCTTCCCAATTCTGTTTCTTAAAGAAGCAGCAGTGCTTGATGTACTAAATCAGCTTCAAAAAATAACGTTGGAATCCATCATTTGGGGAAAAAAAAACCAAACAACACACAATACTTTTCAGTGTCCAGCCTGCTGAGCCTTAATTTTCCTGATATACAGTAAATGAGCTACTTTAGTCCAGTAAGTTAACAGCCTTTAATTTCTAATGAAATGAGTCATTTGCCAAACTGCCCTCCTCCCTGCGCTGACTCACTGTTGGTTTAGGCTGCCTTCACTTGCTATCAGTCTGCTGTGAGAAGTACGGTTGCACATCTAAATGTCACTCTTTAATTTCAAGGTGGAGGTAGTGCTATTCATTGGTCCTACTGAAATTCTCCCCATGATTTAAAAAACCCCCAAAAAACCCAAAACCAAAGCAAAGCCAATCCCTTGCTAACAGCATGGCTCCCACGAGACTTAGCGCACGGTGTGTTCAGTGCAAGTGAGGGCTGCGTGCCCAAGAAGCATCTCCCGTGGAGCCTGGGAGCTGAGTGCTCCAGCAGCCCGTACTCTGGACAGGGTGGAGTGTACTTTGCATGCTGTACCTGCTCAGATATGGGGTGACAGTTTGTACTGACAGCCCTTATCTTTAAAGGCACAGAAAAGTGACATCTAGCACCCTGCAATATGGAGCCCCTTTTCTTCTCCTGTTACTGCTCCCGTCTCTAACCTTGTACAATCAAGTTCCAGCCACTCTTTCTGTTGTCAGCCAGAGGTCCCAGGTTCCAGCCCTGTGTGTGGCAGAGCACAAACTGCTGCTTGACACGAATGACTTCCCATGGGTCAGCACACCCCCAGGAGCGGGGC